GATGAAGAAACAGGAAGAGAGGGTGAGTGCTTACCTCACACTTCCGAACCAAGAGTGTTGAAATGAAACCAAACACAAAGTTGCAAAATGAAATGGCCCTGAGAAGTTTAAAAGGATGTCCTCGTTTACAAACTCTTTTGAGTGGATTTGAATGGTTAAAAACTGATTTTAAAATATGTATGTTGTTAATGAGGAGAAGCTTTTATAATCCTGTCCAATTTCCTGCCTGGCAGCGGATATTATTATAACATTTGACAGGAAACTCTTAATTTCCCACAGCTGAGATGCTATAGATAGAATAGCTGGTACGCTCGGTACAAAAATAGATGAAAAGATGCTGCTTATAACTGTCTAACAAGTTTTCTTTCGTGGAGAATATGAAAGTGACTTCCCCGAGGCCAACGTCTGACTGTCTGTCACAAGTTATGAATGGGGGTTTTTCTTGTTATTTTGGCAGCGTATTTTCCCACTTACCACAAATGCCTACTTGTGCAGATCCGCAGTCGAGACAAACACATCAACAACCTGAAGAAGAAGTGTCAGAAGGAGTCGGAGCTGAAGAGGGAGAACCAGCAGCGCATCGAGACTCTGGAGCGCTATCTGGCCGACCTGCCCACCTTAGAGGACTACCAGAGCCAGAACAAGCAGGTGAGGGCGCTTCTGCTCCAGTTTCACCATTCTTACTGGATCAAATGTACCCATCAATCATTCAATCCTAACGTGTGTGTGTGTGTTGTTTTTTGTATCAGCTCGTCGAGGCTGAACAGCATGCGGCTCAGCTACAAGAGACGGTTCGAGATTTGGAGCTCTGTCTAGACACAACGCGCTCACAGCTACGAGAAAAAGACGCACATCTGGACGAACAGAAACGCAGGGAGAGAGACCTGCTGACCACCATTACTGAGTATGAACACACACAGTCTTATAACAAATCACTTTTTAGTGAGCCTAAAAACCGTTAGGACTCTGAATAATGTGCATTCTGTGTTTTTGTTGTATCAGTATGCAGCAGCGGGTGCAGCAGGGCCTGGAGGATGGAGCCAGACTGCCTTCAGTGGATATGGAGAAGCTCAGAGGAGAGAACAATGTTTTGAGAGAGGAGCAGCAGAGACTCAAAAAGGTCAATTGTTGTGTCTGTTTTGTGTGTTTTCTCTATAAAAGTTCATCTGGGTACACCATTATACTTGAAATATTTCTGGAACACCTTTTTTTTTTTTTTAAATATCTTTTATACATAAAGTACAGAGGGTGTACAAGGGAACTTGATAAATTGTAGCTGAAGCAAAAACATTATCAATATAGTGGTTGAACCTAATATGTTGAGCTGGAAACAAAAGAGTCCCTTTCTAGGTAATCCCCCCCCCCCCCCCCCCAATCTCTTTGTCTTGTATCCAAAATAGGCCTGTGTGAAGTGTTCACTCTAAGCCATATCATTGTAGTTTTACTGTTTATGTGCTTGATCCCAGCTTCAAAATGTTGATTTAGCTACATGAGCTCCAAGAGAGAATGTTTGAAGTCTTAATTCCTCTAAAAGCATGATTGTATATTGTGTTTAAAGCAAACTGTTCATATTTAGAATTATATTTGTTAGCCTGGTTTCTAGTTATTACTCGATGTTAACCATGTTTGCCATGTGCTAGAAAAGGGGAATGCTTCCAGTCGTAAACACACACACGCTATTTCCTCGAAGCTAAGGTCCCACAGCACAGGGAGCGGGTGAAGTAACTTGATACTCTCTCTGCAGGTCATTGAGACGCAGCACCACATGATGGAGCAGCTCGGCTCCCAGATCCTGGTCTGTTTCCCTTCAAAATGAGTCTCAATGATTATTGTGGTCTCTTAGCGTTTGTGAGTTACTAACGGTTTGTGTCTGCAGGCGTTGGAGGAGCAGATCTCTCAGGAAGACAGCAGCTCTCAGGCTCTCCGAGAAGACGCGTTGTCCAAGGAGCAGAACGTGTTGGAGCTCCACACAGCCATGAAGGAGGTGAGACCATAATGGAATAATACAAAATAAAGAAATGACCCTGTGTCTAAGTATGGCATGCAGAGAATCTGTGAGTCCTAAATGACCGTGTGCACAATTGCCTGACTCTTTTTGTTGCTGTGTTCCAGCTATCGGCCCAGAACCAGGAGCTGATGGAGCAGAACCTGACCCTGCAGGAGCAGATGGGGGATCCAGAGCAGAGGAGCAGCAGCCAGGCGTCCCCCCCCCTGCAGCCCGCCGGGGCCCGCCTCACTCACAGGCTGCATGCAGAGATGAACTCGTGCCTCAGTGACCTGCGCTCCCTGTGCAGCATCCTGACCCAGAGAGCCCAGGGACAGGACCCCAACATCTCCCTGCTGCTGGGCCTCACATGTAAGCACTGCGGAGATCTTTACTCTTTCACTTATTTCAGGAAATCAGTGTCGTGAGATTTTAAATATGGCACATAGTTACGCGAATTGGGATAGAAATCGCAATAAGAGCTAGTGCAATATTCAAGTGGCAGGAAGCACAATATTTGTTTCAGGAAAAAGTATGTGTAATAAAGGAATGTGGTGCCGTAGTGATGTCGCCGCCTACAAATAATATTCTACTGCCTTAAAGGTCACCTGTTATGCAAAATCCACTTTTCATGTGTTTTATACAAAAACATGTTTCAGGGAAAAAAGATTCTCTCTCTTTTTGTCCTGATCCATTTCTATAAAAACCTGTCTGAAAATGAGCTGATCAGATTTTGGCCACTTTGTGATGTCATAGTGTTTTTTTGGCTTGTGTAACCATTAGCCAATCACCAACCAAGGTAACCCCCCCCACCTTATCACCTGAATCTCCTCCTAGAGCACCATTGAGTTCTTTTTAACCAAATATCTCTCAGAGGGGCGTGGGGAGTGGCTCCTTATTTTCATCTAAAGTAACAGACAGAGAATCAGCACTTTAGAAACAGGGCTGAAACAGAGGGGATTATGGGATGCTACAATGCATGATCCGTTTGGTATTTAGAACCAAACACTTCAGAGACATGTTTTGTATATATCTAAGACCTATACTATATTGTTGAGAAAGAGTATAATAGGAGACCTTTTTAATTATCTTTGTTTGATACAGATCCTCTCAAAATATAACTAAATAAATATTATTTCAGATATCTTTCAATGATAAGGAGATAAATGATGATTATTTTTCTCCAGTGCCCCCTCCAGTGACCCAGCTGGACGAGGACTGGATGAATCCAGAGGTGCTGCAGAAGAAGCTGGTCGAAGCTCAGCAGCTCCGTCGAGACGTGGAGGAACTACGCAATGTAATACTGGACCGTTACGCGCAGGACATGGGAGAGAACTGCATCACCCAGTAACTCTCCCACCCAGGTGACACTTCTCCACTTCCCCTCTGAAGCCTCTGAAACGGGCTCGTCTTTCATGACTAGTTACTGAATGTCACAAAGAGAACTGGATTTTCCAATTTTATTAAATGAGGACAAAGGAAAGCCCAAATGGTTTAGCTTCTTCTTCTCTCGACTGAATGTCTCAGAATCCTCCCATCCCTCCGGTGAGTTAATCTATTTCAGTCCAAGGGCTAACGGAAAATAACTTGCCTCTAATACTTGATCCTTAAGCATTTTGCGTGTGTTTTTTATTTGTATTAATGATGACATGAATATTGTCAGTTACCAAACAGTCTTATACTTTTTGTTTCACTAGCTATTTGTGTAGAAGTCCCACAAATATAATTTATTTAAAACTTTAATTTCCCTCTCCGGGGGAATTAAAAAGAAGTGGTTGACAATCAACTGAAATATTTTAAACTGTGCTTTTAACAAGATTTACAAGTGAATGTTTCCAACATGCCGTTATTTAAAATGGCCAATGCTGTAACATTAGACTCTGCTCTACTCTTTGAGGCATTGGACTTGATACTGAAGGGTTTAAAACCAAAACAGCTTCTCACACCAACAGGCCTACAACCGTTTTATTACCAAAGAAACTCTGGTCAGAGCAGTTGTGCAAGTCTGTGAATGTTTGTGAACGCTTCCCTCTGCTGCAGGCCTCGTTCTGAATGAACACCAACATGTGCCTTTCTGTCGCAATGCTAGTTCATTTTAGACCAACCACAAAAGGCTGTTTGCAGCTGACTCTTCCAATATGACCTTTCTCTCAGCGTATCAACCAGTGGGATATTCAATACATTCCCTGACTCTGAATGTAGCAGATAACTTTGGGAAAACTCACAGAGCTTGTGGAGGCCCTTTTAGAATGTTTTTTTGTTGTTCCTGGTAGATAAAGATAACTCTTTAGTCTGAGTGATTATCTGCCCAAAAAGGTTTCTGTATATTTCAGGTTGATAATGGCTGACAGAGTGGGTAACTGTTTCATTAATGTGTGACTGAGAAACAGTATTAATCTTCAGTATTATTTATTTTGTATTGTTTGCATTGACAACTCAGTGTAAAAGCCTCCTAATGCGTTGCTGTAATAATGTGCTAATGTGTTTGAGCTTGTGTAAAGGTCCCATGAAGTGCCATCAGATTGTCTTTTTCTCCCGTGGTGTTTTTTTGAACGAGTTGTCTGATGGCTAATGATTGTCAGCGGTCACTAAGGGATCTTTAGCTTCTTCAGGTCCAAGAATGTTTTAATCCCATGTGAGGATGATGGGAGGGGTTGGCTGGTTCACCCCCAAATCCCCCATCACATTGTACTGGATGGAGTTTTATATTTGCCCTGAGTGCAGGAGAAGCCATTAAAAAAGAAAAGCTTGACACTTTACAGGATATATATATATATATAAACATATGCAACAATGAGTTTTTCTGATACAGATCAACCCACCCAGGGACACACAAGCCATTTTTCATTTCATGGGACCTTTTTTAGAAACTTGAGTAGCACAAGTTATATCTTTGGAAAGTCCGGCTCCGCATGCCTTAACATCTCAAACGTTTAGCAAAAAGGGAAAAAGATGTTTATATTTTCATACTTTTGTCCTTGTTTGTATTTGCATATTTTAGAAATAAAGATTTTCAACATTTTGCCATGTGTTTTAACTTTATTTGATTTGGTGTAAAACATTTTCATCCCTTCTGTGCCGAAAGCCACGAGTTCCAGCTTTCTATAACTAATGATGCACTGATCCGATATACTGGATTTGTATCAGCCGTGAAAAGTATTTTATGAGCAGATCGGGAAAGGACCATGACTTGATCTATTACTCATACTGTTTCCTTTGCCAGTGAAAAATAATCTGTTTCCGGTATCGGTTACATGCATTCAGTCACGCGGGACCACCCACTTTGGAGACACCCTGTCCTCATGTTACGTAACATCCCAGGCGGGGGTCAGGCTGCGTGCTGGTTCACTGTCCTACTTACTGGGACGCTTACATAAAACAAAGCAAACATTAATGTTATTAAACAGCTGTGTTTTTCTATGACAAGCCAACATTTCTGCTGCGGTAAAGGCCGATACCTCATCTTTTATAATCTTATTTTATTGACTTCACTCAGTGAATGAGGCTGTTTCTGCCTCTTTTTCGCAGCAGCAGAGAAGCATTAGTCGTGAGGCCACATGATCTGAGCGTCTGGCGGTCCTCATCGTAGCGGTGCTGTGGGTACGCACTGATGATGTCATAACCAGGGAGACCACCCCCTCTGTAATGCAAATAATCTAAATGTCACATGCATGGATGTGTTAAGAGATGTTGTAAAGACAAGAAGATACTGCGTCAGTGCAGGAGGTCGAGGACTCACCTGTGTTTGTCCAGATACTGTCGCAGCTGACCGATTGTTTCTGAGAAGCTCATTTTCAGTACGTAAGTATGATTCCCGTCTTCTGACTTCACTTTCATTGTGATGACATCACAGGGGGACCGAGGCCGATCGGAGCTGGAAGTCTGCAGTCTAGAGGGAAAAACAACCCGTTTAATATTCATTAGATGCAGGTCAACCCAGCTGCAGTCCAAGGCATACAATTCCAAACCCACTTGATATAGCACTAGTGACCCAGACTGGCCTGAGGCTCCTCTACCAGGGCGCTGACCTGACCTATTTTCCAATGCAGTGCATACAGTAATCTTGACAATCGGACGCTGCGGCCAAATCAGTATTTCAATCAGCCTTTACATCATGTAGTATGTTCTTGGATCTAGTAATCCCTTTAACCCCATAACATCTTTGCCTTTTCTTAAGATGTATACATGATTGTAATGCCAAAAAATGTTCTAGACATATTACAAAAATGAATGTGCTTACATAATGGAGGACATCATTTTAAATACCTCTCTTTCATCGCTTGCAGGGCCGGCGTGTCTATGAGGATCATCGAGCTGCTGCTCCCAGCAGGAGATGAACCCTGGTGAGAGCACTTGTTAGATAATTGACGTGAGTGTTCTTTCAGCATAAGCACAGCAGGTGAGAGTGCACTACTATAGTGATTATATGTTTACCACACAAGAGCTATAGCTGCTAACACTTTCTGTAGGTATCTTTGATGCTCACCTGCAGGGCGGCCCTCAGGGAGTCCCTGATATCAACCACACGGCCAGCCTTCACTACTGCCTTTGGTAACCTGCTCAGGAACTGATCCACGCTCAACTTCTTGCCTGTGGTCAGAAGGAAACGGCACATTTAGACTGAGGAGAGCCACCTCAGGTCTGTATTTGGTAGCATTGTTGTGATGTGTGCAGGACGGACCAGGTAACTGAGAGCTGACAGTATTGGATGTTTCATTTTTCTCCCCACGGACAGCCTGTCCTTCGCCTGGAAAATTATTCCACGGTAGCCTGGTGATAAAATCCTCATCTCGCCTGTCATTAACCTGCAAAAAAAGTAGCAAAGTTGCAAATAGGCAACAAAAAGGAACAGACTTTTGTCACTATTTCTGACATCTCATAGAACGAAACCAAACCTTTAAAATAATTGGGATAATAATTGCTAGTGAATATAATTCTTAGCTGCAGTCCTTTACATTTGCTTGCAATCAAATAAAAACAAACCTCAAAAGGCACACCGTCTGGAAATATTTCTTGAAGCTCAGATGGAAAATACCCGTCCATCAGATCTTGCATGCACCGCTGCAAAGTCCAAAGATAAGAGGATTTGACTCACCAAAGAATCCAGGTTAAAATATCAAAATATCTTCTGAGCGACTTTACTTATAGTCTAATCTAACCTGGGTGCTGCGCTCCTGATACGAGCGGAAAGGACCGTCAAACATGACAATGCCGTTGCTGTAGAGACTCAGCTGAACAGGGTCCTTTTTTGCCAAGTGTGCCCCCGTGGATGTGGATTGAACGAAACACTCTCCCTCTCCTGCCAGGATGTTCAGCTCGTTGATCCTCTGCAGCACCAGGTCAACATTCATGTGGAAGCTCCTGACCACAGATGTGTCTTGCAGAGGAAAAACACCCAGCATGTTAGTAATCATTTCAGGTAGAAGGTATGGTGATATTTCAACTATTTGGAATGTAAATGTTAAGGAAGGCAATGTAAATATACCTGGCTGCCAGAGGCCTTGCTCTAAGTTATGTGGCTGCTCACTCTCTGCAGAGTCACTGCTCTCACCATCTCCCACCCAGATCAAACCATAGTCATTCAGAAAGCTCTGTAAGAATTTGAATCAGCATAATGTAATATGCTGTAATCAAAAATATTAACATATAACTGAAGGCTTTTATTAAATACACTTACATCCATTTCTTGCACTTGATTTTGCAGCTGTTGGCATCTTCTCTCAAGATCATCTCTGCCACAAGGATGAAGAGTACCCTCTAAAGCCATAAATAAAAAAGCAACATGTAAATAAGATCAGACTTTTACTTTTATTTAGAAATTCAGGGAATATTGAATTTAGGTATTTTCCCATTACCTGATTCTTTTATAAGCCTCTGATTTTTCTCCAACGCTGAAATCCTTTCATCCTTAAAGGAGACATTGGAAGAAAAGGAGTTAGTCAGTTGGACATGTTTGAAAGATCTGTTTTGTAATGCTATTCCTCTGGAGGAGGTGTGTGTTTTCACCTTTCTCTCGATCTCCCGTGCCTGGCTCATCACTGTTTTCTCCAGCAGGCTCACCCGCTGCATCATGGCAGACATCAGCTCAAAGTCGCTTGGTGCACTACCTGTGAAAGCATCCTTTACACTCTTGAAACTTGTTTTTTAAATTCATATAGTTACCTGAAAGTGTACATTTGAACAATGAATAAAAGGAACCAAAACTCTGTAATAGCTTTTACCTTTCTTTAATGGGGCTTTTGATTTTGAATTGGAGGCATCATTGGCTCCCGTGTGAGAGGTCAAGGAAGGTTTGACATCCGAGGATTCATCGTCATCAGCCAAAGCTGTCTGAAATTCTGGACATAAAACAGACCCAAAACCAAAAAACATGATGAAGTCTATGATCAGCTTGTAAGAGTAGTGTGATAACCAGAGTTTTGTATAGGTACATTGACTCAATTACGTCATTGTCTAACAGTAATAAGAGCTAAAACATTTATTTGACTGATCAATTCATAAATGAGAGAACATTATTTCTTTAACAAAAGAAAATACCAAAGTTTTCAGGGTGCAGCTTACAAATGAGAGAACTTGATGCACAATGTATGACTTTTTCTTCAAATTAAATCATTTTACAGTGGGCTATTATTATTACAGAATACTTCCTTACAACCTGGTGTACAGTTCTGCTTTGGTTACCTGTCAGTACAGTGTTATTATGCCTTTATGTAACGATCAGATTTCACTTGAAACCTACCCTTTATGAGATTCCCCCTGAAAGGCACTTTTTGTCCTCCCCTGCAGGTGAAAGACAGTTTAATGTACACATGCTTAGACCTCTTCACAGTAGCACACTTAAAGTGAACTGTCGTTAGTTCTTCTTTGTTGTTTCACAGTAAATAAACCTACCATTGCTCATTCTGAGGGCTCTGCAGTGGAGTGCGCCTCGTTTTCTTCAGCATCGACAAAGGTGAGCTCATTTTACCTGGTCAGGAACTGCAGGAAAACGCTTATCCCTAAATATCTCACACTTTCTCGAGTGCAGCCTCTTCACAATCCTGTCCGTTTTCACTTTGTTTGGAGTCCGTTACCATTAGCAACACAAAGCGGGCAGCTGATATTGTAGAATGAGGTAATACATGTTTCATCCACTGGGAGGCGCTGTTTAGATTTCACAATTACCTTTTATTCACCTTTGTTGGGACTAAAGTTTTAAGATGTTTTGTTGGAATATGACATGAAACTAACATCGATATATATAATAATTATACAACTTTCTGCATGTAAAGACCACATTTCAGTGCATAAACGTGTCTTAAGTTACTTACATTTGTATGACTGGTTAAGGATTGTCTTGTTTAGTTGTTTTGCATGAAACAAGCAAAACATTGTGATTTAACAAAAACATTTTAAGGGACAACATTTAATTATTCTCAAATGTAACAACTTATATGTAAACAATGTGAATAGCTGTCCTGATACGTTCACGGGCCTCTAACGTGTAGCCACTAGTGGGCCCGGTGCGGTGCCGCCATACTGTCCGGTTCAGCCCGCTGGCGGTGGGGAGTGATCGGGCATTCAGAGAGGATGCTGAGGCCTGCCTGTCCCGTCCCACCACACATCCATCATTAACCCGGGGCTGCTAAGCTCGTCCGGGCTATGGCTGCACCCATCGCACATTTCGACGAAGACTGGCCGATATTGGGTGATTTGAGCATGGTTTCAGACCAGCGGCTGCAGCTGCCGCAGAAAGGCCGAGTAGAGAGCGCCTCTGCGGGGGGAGCAGCGCCGCGGCTGCTCCTCCCGGGTGATGGTGATATCCCCGATCTGCAGGACGGCAGCTTCTCCCCGGGGGAAACCGGTTCTTTCAGGTCTATGGAGGATCTTGTGAACGATTTTGACGATAAATTATCCGTGTGCTTCCAGAATTTTAACGCCAATACAGACAGCATCGCTCCTGTGAGTGTGATAACAGAGGAGTCCCTGCTGGAGAAAGACGAGTGAGTGTTTTTGTTTCCGGCCTGTCCGCAGGCTAGTTGTTTATAATAATAAGTGGATGTTAAGGCTTTTACTCAACGCTGCAGGCTGCATTTTAAAAAGCATACAATGTTATGTTGTCTGCCATGGGATTTATTTTCTTAGATCAGGAGTATTACACATTGTTACACCGTGTAATAATGATGTAATGGGGCTCTAATGACAGCTAGACTGCCACCATCTTTTGTCAAGTCATCAAAACTCAGGGCATAGGTCTGCTCTACCAATGTAATAACAAACCCATTACACATTGATCCTAACAGGTGCGATGATATTGGCATCTGCTCCAAATGGCTTTACAAACAGATATTTACCAATATGTATGTGTATTGGCTCTTACTTTTGATTTTGCAGCCGATATTTAAAATATAGCTCTTGTGTCTATTTTCCAGAAACACACTCAAATCAACTGAGGGAGCCAGTCAATTAATCGGTCAATTGATTGATAGGAAATGAATGTGTTAAGTGTTAAATTGTTAAGTCGTTTATTTAGGAAATTATTTGATGTGTGTAGAGTAAAAAACTAAAATAAGTTATGTAGGGCCTGTGTACATACAGTCAATACCATGCCCGTGCTAGAAATGTAGGTATGTGTTCCATAATAATAGAAAGTCTTGATAATAAAGATAGAGTGATTAAGTGCTCCAATAAAAGAGCAGTAGTTTGATCCAAGCAGATTATTCTTACTTATTTTTGCTGTCAGTATATTTACGTTTGCTATTAAATACATCCTTACTGTTAGTCCTTCCATAAAATGTTTCATAAAAAAACAAAAAACACTTGACCCTAAAATGCATAAAGTATTTCCCATAATGCAATACAATCCCCTTGTAGCCTACCTGGTAAATCCCCCAGTTTGTACATTTTTGGAAGTCCGGGTGTTATTTTCTCCCCGTTATGAGTACATTGATCTGTGATTTTGTCAGTATAATTTGGCTTTTTGGACTGACATGTTATTTATTTCTCCAAAGAATCTGGAAGGTTTTAACCAGTAACTATGGGCATGTGATGCCGGTGGATTGGAAACATTCCCGAACATGCTCCCTCCACAAACCCTCCTACAACCTGGAGGAGAAGCCCGTAAGTGACTCCCCCCCCCCCCTCCCTTCTCTGTCCCACTTTCCCTTCAACGCCAGCACTCCTACCCACCCCAATCTCTTTTCTGTTTATCTCACAAATCTCAAATATGTATTGTGCCAGGGTTTAGCGTTTTTGATTAAATTCCCTCCCCCCATCCTTCCCGGCTAGAGAAAGACTGATGTCACGGTGGAGCTGTCGGACGATGAGGAGCTGAGGGAGCAGCTGGACATGCACTCCATCATCGTCTCCTCCCTTGCAGACGAGCCGCTTTTCACAGCCGAGCAAGTGAGTTACATGTAGTGTATCCCAGATGCAGCCACACTGTATCAAGTGTAGGAATACAGAGCTGCAGCTTAACATGGCTGAAAATGAGATTTAATAACAGATGAGTGCTGCCTCTCTGATGTGTGTGTCTTTGCTTTGTGCAGGTTATCGAGGAGATAGAGGAGATGATGCAGGACTCTCCTGACATGGAGGCAGGCCACAACCCCTCTCAGTCAGACCTCTCGATGCTCTCTCTGGACGTCCAGCGCTGCACCAGGAGCCCCAGCTACGAGTCCAGTGAGTGTCCATTTTGGGCTGAGACAAAACATCAGTAATATATATAATGAGACATGCTATTGTGGTCTGCTATAAGTACAAAGTAACCATTATGTCGCAGCCTTTTATACCATACTGATGTAATTGTATCAGTATCATAGTACAAGCCACACTGTTACACTGGGTGACATGTTCCTTTATTGCAATAATCTAGGCACTGTAGTTTATTTTGACTCAATAACACAAACTCTGTCTTGCAGCATAAATACTCCCAAGCACATCCTGTATTTTCTATTAATCCGAAATAATCCACAACAAATACGGGGATATGGGAAATTGTTGAGAGATAAACGTACTCATTGTTGATTTTGGTCTTTTCATCGGATTTGTTGACAATAAATAAAGCTAAAATAAAGCTTATCCTCTCGTGTCATAAAAATGTGATGGATTCATGATAGTCCGGTGTCATAAATTGCCCTGCGACCCTTAATCGTTCTATTTTTTGATGAATGAAGGATCAGAATCATAAACAACAGCTGTGTTTTCTCTTTGTTTGTTTGTGGTCCAGGAGTGAGGTCCCTGAGTGTTGCGGAGCTGAATGAACGTCTGGAGGAGACGGAGACGACCATCAGGATGTTCTCGGAGGAGCTGGTTCTGCAGCTGGCTCTCAGGGACGAGCTGGACTTTGAGAAGGAGGTGAAGAACAGCTTCATCTCAGCGCTCATTGATGTACAGAACCGACAGAAGGAGCATCGGGAGCTGCTGAAGAAGAAGAAGAAACTTAAAGCAGGAGCCGGGACGTCGCAGGGACACGCAGAGAAGAACCAGGGATCAGTGAGTGTTTTGCTCCTTCATAACTACTGTAATCACGGGATGTCTTCAGTTTTTCTTTTCCAAACAAACTGTATTTTCCTGAAACCTTTTCCTTTCTTTTCTTTTTTTACTTTGTCTTATATTTCTCTGCTTTACTTCCTTCCTCGTCAGCGCTTCAGCGTGGAGGGAATCTCCTCTGTCATTCAGAACAGCTTCCGGCAAACTTTTGGGAGCGGGTGCAGTGAAAGACAGGTTACTTTGCCTTTCTCTCTCAGCTGCTGAACTTTATCTTCTTCCTGTTTTCTGCACAGAATATAAACACATTGATAGGAATCTCATCCAACAGAAACATCATCTACAGAAACTTGATCTCATCTATTTGTCTTTCGCTCTGTTTTATGTTTCTTTACAGTATTTGACCACAGTCATCCCATACGAGAAAAAGGGACACCCACCCTCCCTTGAGGACCTCCAGATCCTGACAAAGAGTACGTTTCTTTATCTGCACCGGCAGTATTTGAGTGTTAGTGGCTGTGATTGATCCATTCACTCCTTTGTTTCTGCTGCCTTGCAGTCCTACAAGCTATGAGAGACGACAGTGACAAGGTGCCCAGTCTCTTAACAGACTATATTCTTAAAGGTGAGCTCTTCTCGTTTGTGTGTCTGCACTATAAATGATGTTGAGAATGACAAATGAATGTCACAACTAAACAATTGTATACTTCATCTTTATTTTGTCCATTTTATCACATGTTGTTATACAGATTGTGTTTCCCATATCTCAATAAAGAGTTTTAGTTTATTGCAAAAATCCCCAAATCATTTAAAAAAATGCTTCATTTAAAAAAAACAAGTCAAGTCTGCTTGTCGCAGTTGAAAGCAAGAACTTCTTTAAACAGTTAATGTGGGAGCGTTGAAAGACACAGCAACATTTGACAGTTTGCAGCAACAAGGTTCCACTTTTATATGTTTGTTGTTGTCAAAAACAAACACATATTCATAGTGATAAAAGTAATATATAGACCTGGTATTTAAAAAGTCTGGCTGTTGACTCTGAGGTCCTAAATGTCACAGTGCTCAATTAGAATCCAGCCCTTTTTACTGCAAACATTTTGACATGTCATGACAGGATAAACACAGGTGTACTTGATCAAAAATAATTATGATGCTGTTCTATTTAGTCTGTAACAGCCATTGAAGTTATTCATTTGATCAATTACACCTGTAAAATGGCTGCTGTTAAAAGGGCATTTCTTAATATTCGACTCTCAGATTAACTAGAGTAACTTTATTGTGAAATTCTGTCCTTCAGTACATCCTGCTGAAAACATTTGCCCTCCGTCTTTTATGTTTTCTTAGTCCTTCCTTTCACATATGTTCTGCTTTCATTCTTTCATGTTTTCTTTCTCTACTTCTCATGACCTAACTTATCTCCGCCTCACCAGCTCTGGTGTGAGCGATGGATGCAGAGGTTTGTTTCACATGTGATGTGCACTGTTGTGGTTGTCTCACTCACATGGGGAGAGCGCCCCCTCTCTCTACCACTGAACTGTAGTGCAGTCTGACCCTGGTGTTGTCCTTTCACTGTACCCCCCCCCCCCCCCTCTCCACACAGTGACTGCTGCAGCATGGTTGATCCCTCTTAATGTCACAACCCACTGTCACACAAAATGTCGATTCACCCTGCAGTTCACATTTAACACACAGTTTAATGATCATTAGCCACCTAGCATTGCTGTGATTTCAGGATGTTTCCTCACCCACCCTACTTCAGAAATAGGTCATCAGCACTAACTGGTGTCCTTACATTTAGATTTTCCTTTTTTCCTTTCTTTTTCTCCTACTTGTAATTTGTGCTGATCCCCTCATGCTGAAGGTGCACTCCTGCTCCATCGTTCTAATATGAATCTCTACTGTTATTACAGTGCTTTGCCCAACGTAGGCCAGAGGGACGGTGCGCAACGCTGGAGAGACTTGAGATAGTTTACCATGGCAACAAGAGGAAGAGGACTCATTGTATTTTTTGCAGACATGAAGCACACTTTAATTAGATCCTGCATGTTTTTACCTCAAGATGTCATTTTTTGTGTTCTTCTCTTCTTTATTTATTTTGTGTTGAGCATTGTGATTTTGCAAACCTCGTGTGTTCCTGTCATTTTTACCTATTTTCAATGTTTGATTTTTGATTTTCCTGCACTCTGAAAGAGCATCTTAAAAATGTTAAATTATATAAGAGAAAACCCCCAGATTAATATATGTGGGTTGTAAAAGCTGCTCTGTTTGTAACTGAGCTCTGCTTGCTGGTAATAAGCATTGCATAGGGCTTTGTATTTGTCTGAAGTGATTAACTGAGCAATGAACAAATGCACAAAGCATGTTGAAGTTGCAGTAATAAAGGTGCTTTTGAAGCATCATAACTGTAAAGCATAAACAGGAGAGTATGATTGAAAAATATTCTTACAATCCCCATGAGGAAAGTATTACAGCAGCACATAAGACAGTAGAGAGGTATGAGAGAACAGGAAAAATATACTTTTAACCAGGATGCATAAACATCATTTGCAAAACCACCATATGATTTATGCAGCCGACAAAGTGTTTATCTGCGTTCATCTGAGCAGATCACTCCATACATCTTCATTGTATGGAAGATAAAGTGTTGAGGAAATGTTTGAACTGAAAATAACAAACTGACTAACTATGCATTTGAATTGTGATCCACACTGTCTGTACTTCCTAGACACTGTCTGTAACTCTGAATCAGAGGCTGGAGCGTCGGCGTTCCTGCTGCGCACAGGGCAGCCTGTTATTCTCTGTGTTCTTTTATATGTACAAACTGCCTTTGGTCTTTGCCTGAACTTTTGTACATTTTAAATGACTTATTTTCAATTAATGTGAAATGGCTGGACTACTTACAGAGCCTGCTTCATTGTTATTTATTTTGTAAATATTTTTGTTTCAAATATATTGATACAAATCACACCCTGTTTGTCTTGGCTTATTTTATTCATGTTGCAAACCAGCAGATGAAACATAAACAAATATTGATTTCACAACAGTCTTTCTTCATTATATAAGTCTCTGCCTCATGTCTGCTACACATCATCGAGCTCACTGAGGGGATCCAGATGGGGGATGTGTAAAAAAAACCTCAAAAACATCCAACCGCTGGCCTGTGGGAGCCTTAGGCAGAAACACAACAGGACCTTTAACAGGAAAAGCCCATTTATATTAGCAGGCAACGATAAGAAGGCACAACTGTTTATAGCTCTGTATTTGTTGCACTCAAGTGGCACAGACAGATGCAGATCATTGATAAGGACATGATGAATATGAAAAAAATGTGACACAACCACACAGAGAGATAAGGCCCCGCTGCAAGTGATGACCTACAAACATGGAACCCGAATCATGCTTCACAATCCATCTCCTTTAAGCGTTTCAAAAGCAACACAAACGTCTGTTAAAACATCTGTAAAACATTTGTTCTCTCTCAGATAAGATTTCCTCCTTCAACTCTGTGTCGCCACCCCGGGCTTGTAAAACACAACAGCCTTTGTCTGGCCAGCCCTCAGAGCTGCAAGGAGCTTTCCAAGTGTGCTGCTACACCAGAAACAGCTTCTCTACAGTGGAGTTAAAAGCATTTCTTCCAATATCATGGATGCTCGAAGGGTTTGTCTGATGTTCTGCCTTCTCCTGCTGGCACACTGCACACTCCAGCAGACCTCCTCAAAGAAAAGAAACAGCAAGAAAGGTAGGATAATAACTTGACTTTGAAAATAGTATCATAGTGTCCTTGTTAAAAACCATGAAGAACTTTTAGAGAACAACAAAACTGAACTATGTGTCATTTATACTGACTGAATGCATTATACTTTGGAATACATTTGGCATGTTCTTTTTTTTTACCTCTTCAACAGACTCCGCAAACAGTGCTGCGATCGAGGAGCTGAAGAAACAGATCACTGAAATTGTTCAAGAGCTGAATTTGGTGAAAGAGCAGCAGGCTTTACAGACAGGTATTTCTCATGCAGATAAATGGTTAATGACTTGCATACAATTTTGGAAAATGCTTTTGTCTCACAGCTCAATAATATCAAGTATATTTCACAACATGTTGGATGTAACATAGAATAGACTTTAACACTCTCCAGTTATAGAGAGCCCAAAATAGACAAGAATAACCCCTGGTTTCCTCTTAAGTTTGTCTGCGAGGCACCAAAATCCAGGGCAAGTGTTTCCTGTCTGACCCGGTGAAGAAGACCTTCCATGCAGCCATCGAAGACTGCTTCTCCAAGGGAGGCAGTCTGAGCACTCCTCTGACAGGAGACGAGAACGAGCAGCTCTACCAGTACGTACGTCAGAGCATTGGCCCCGAGGAGCCCATCTGGCTGGGCGTCAATGACATGGTGACCGAGGGCCAGTGGTTGGACCAATCAGGGTCCAGCGTGCGCTTCAAGAACTGGGAGACAGAGATCACCCTGCAGCCGGACGGAGGGCGCAGCCAGAACTGTGGCCTCCTCTCCACCACGGCACACGGGAAGTGGTTTGATGAGAGCTGCCGAGCTGAAAAGGCTTCTGTGTGCGAGTTCAACATCGTCTGAGGGGCTGCTGTCGACTTTAATATCTCATCTGTGCAGATCAACACGTGTGTGAAGATCAAATGCTGCGCGCAGAAAGGAATAAAACAAGTATCAGGTACATCTATGCCATGCATTGAAAAGTAAAGTGCTGCATTTTCTTCTTCTTCACACAGTGGTCTGGGATACAGCATGACATTGTATAAGCTCAATATTGTTGTATACATAATAAATATTACTAATAAACGTGTTATCAATGAATGTATTTAAGCATATAATCAAGGTAAACACCACTGGATGGCTTTTCTCTATGTATTGTTATGTATTCTGCTTATCAATGCAATACACCTTTATTACTGAAGAGCAAACATTATGATGACCTTTTCTGAACTTATTTCTAGTTCTGAAAGTTAAAGAACTATATTCTTAATCTTTTGCTCATCAGAGGAAAATAACTGTCTATTACAATAGTTACTCTTTGATTTCATCGTTTTCTTTACAGGGTATCACCAGTTTGGAAAGGTCTCGAGCAGCTAAAGTTTCCCTTTCAAAATAACACTCAAATATTTGACAAAGGAAATGGTAAACTTCAACAGGAAGGTCCAAATTGAAATAAAATACATATATGTGGAAAGGAGGATTTACTGTTGGAAATATGTGCAGGGATTCCTAGAAATGCAGTGATCAACATTGCCTCCAAAGAGTTGACTTCTGAAACATACAGAGGTTTCCAGGTCCTACTTTTTAGAAACATCTGTCCTAACTTAATGAGGACAATGACTTACTCTGTCTCCACCCAGCCCACACTTTTTCCATCATGAAAACCTAGTTTCTGGCACTCTGAATAGTTTACTCATTGAAAGGAGGGTTACATCATGTCAACATGTTTAAACATCTCCACGGAGATGCACTGATGTCAGCAGCAGCAGCAGCGTGTAAGTATAAAGCATGTCCTCAGAGTACCTATTTTCATATTTACATGACTCTGGACCAAAGTGACCTCACATTCAGAGAGTTCTTGCATTGTTTTCTGGCAGAAGAAACTTTATTTCCTCAGGACTGAGAATGATTTTATGGCAACTTTGTTCCCCTCTGCAGTTCACTTTCTGAACAGCTGGAGGCGATATGACTTCACAAAAAAAACATCTATTCAGTTTTTCCAAAAGTTTGAAAACTAATCCCATTATTCCTCAAATGAGACCAGCTAATATTCTGTCACCTTGGCCATCTTCATGTCAAAATCGAAACCCTAATGAAATACTTTAACATGCTGTGTTATGGTTTTATATCCCGGTTGAAGTACAAATCTTTGAATTTTACAAAATGATTAACCTGTACTGGACTGTGACGTGGTTAGGATTCAGTTTGCACCATGAACTTTTTAAAACAGATTGTTGTTCAACACTGAATAACTGAGACTACACAACACATTAGTACCCACTCACACTTATGTTAAATGATACGCCTCACAGTCTCTCTTTTGAAAGCTACCTGTTATTAATGACACAATTCAGTCAACAATGTTGCTTCTTTGAAAGATGTAATTCTTTGCTCACAGAATGAAATGAAGTGTGTTTAATGATTTTAGTTTTGTGTGAGAAGGGGTCTGTAGTCCTCAAAAGCCTTTTCCTAGTAATTGTTATTCATCAAGTAGCAAAACAGTCTCTTTTTTTTAGCCGCAGATCACTCTTAAGATTCCTAAAAGCATGTGTTCAAAAAGGAACAAAAGGAATGTACAAAAAGTTGAAAAAACCCCCAGTAAAATCCTAATCTGCATTTAAAGGCGAGTATTGACTTAACTTAAATTGTAATGATATATCCAGAAGGCAAAGAGCAGGGTAAAAAGCTTATAGTAAAAAGATACCCCATGCACATACACTGCTGTTGCAATCTTCTGCAATACAGGCAATCTTCGGGCCATCATGTTGGGATGATGCCATAACAATACAGGGTAACAATAGCAGTAGAGTCCTCTCTCGGTTAAATATTAAAAAGAACATTTCAGCATGTAAACAGCACACACATTTGCTCATGTAAAAACAACCACGAATTGTACAAAATATCTCAAATAAAAAATGTTCATTGCCTAAAAGAAGCATATTTTCATAGTGGCATCGCTGGTACAAAGAGGATGATTGTGTACTGCCTTCATCTGAGATAAAACATCGTAACAAGCGGCAGGCGGGGTCAGCAGGGTAATTTGTGTGCCTGGCTTTGGTGCAAAACTACGCTCGAGAGAAAACAAAACAAAGGCTTCTTGAGAGGCAGGTAATCACAAAGATGCCAGGGAATGAATATCTCAAAGGTCAAGAGAGAAAGCTGAATCCAATCTCCTCCTCAGTTTCCTCCCTCTGGCTCCAGCCGCGGCCCCAGATTCGGAGAGTTTTCCTCTTCACTTGGGTCCTCGGTTTGGTAAATCACATTGTCCTGCATTGCTTTCACGTGGCTCGGGGGCCGGATTGGAAGCGGAGGAGCCTGAAACTTCTCGTAAACCCCAACCGGTATGTCATCGTCTGCAGCTATTTTAGAGACCAATGGATTCTGTGAGTCTGTCTGCCCCGAGAAGGGCGGGTGTGTGTCGAACTCTCCGTAGACGCCCATCTCTGCTCCCTTTCTCAGAAGGTGCGTGTAGACCAGCGTGTCCTCGATGGAGGCGTACACATGGGACTCGTTGTCTTCTCGTGTTTTTGGGAAGCCGTTTGGTCCTGGCAGGAAGCTAGTGCCGTTTGGATTGTAGATGGATATTTCATGATCCAGCTTCTTTTTCTTCTTCCTGTTTGGCAGGGAAGACATTATGATCAGAACTTTAGAGTTAAATACTGCATCAAACTAACAGCCAACCATTTAAGTAAGAACATTTTAAATAAAGGGAGACATCTCAAGCAGATTGAAGTAAACATGAAGAACCGCTATTTCTCCACTATATTTATTAAATGCCTTGTGTGCAAGTGAGCAATTATAAAGACAACAAAATGTGCTTATTAATTGTGCATTATGACATTTCTAGAAAACAGCATGCAGCAGCACTCACCTAATCACCACACAGACCACTACCAGCACAATGACAAAAATAACCAGCAGGACAGCCACCACACTCAGGATGATGGTCAGCAGCAGGTCTAAATGAGAGAGAACAAATCAGATACAAAAAGGTTTTATTCTGATGCACTCTAAATACAGTATACCCTATGTCCTTGTGATAGAAAATGTGATGTTGCTTATAAAAGAAGACTGATGATGAACCAATATTCATTAACTGGTTGTAATGTTGGCAAATTAGACTAAACTTGCGCTAACATGCTCAATAACACTAGCATGTTGATGTCAACGAATGTCATTGTTGACCATGTTCAGGATTCAGTCAGTTAGCATGCTAACATTGGCTAATTAGCACTGAACACAAAGTACAGCTAAAGTTGATGGGAATACAGTTTTGCAGGGATTTGGTCATCAACCAAAGATGATGATTTTAAACCTGGAAAACCATTGATATCTGTCCCAAATGTATATCAATTAATCTGATGGTTGTTGAGATAATTCAGCCAAAGGGGCTGACTGCTTGCATGGCTAAAAGTAGCACCTTAAAAAGGAGAGATGCCTGTCTGAAGCATATTACATTACATTACATTACATTACATGTCACTTGTTAGACGCTTTTATCCAAAGCGACTTACATACTCAATACTGTGGGCAATCCCCACAGGAGCAATTTGGGGTGAAGTGTCTTGCCCAGGGACACAACGACATGCTGACTGCAGTGGGGTTTGAACCTGTGACCCCCTGATCCGAACACCAACGCACAACCCACTGCACCACACGCCTCCCTCCCGCCGCATATAAAGACCCACTTGTTTTTTAAAGTGTTAAGTAACACAAAACTAAGTTGCCTCTTACTCTTGCTCTTGTGCAGGGTGATCTTGGTGATGACGCTGAAGTCTCCTCTCTCAGGCATACAGTTGGACATGTTGAGGTAGAAGTTCCCGTTGACCGTGATCTCACTGTCTGCCTCTTCGTCCTCCCTGCGGCTGTACTCCTCCTCCAGGCGGCCGACTCTCTGCACCCTGATGTTGGTGTGGCGGTTGCTGCACTTGGGCTGGCTCAGGTTGGCGAACATCAGGTGAGCCTCCATTCTCGGAGGAACAGAGACGATCCAGGAGACGGTGGAGTAAGACTTCATTCCTACTGGCCAGCCAGGAGTAGCCAAAAGGACAGGAGTGTCTCTCTTTGGAGACACAGTGAATATGTATCTTTCTGCGTATGAAAGAAAAAGAGTATTAAATATCACTGAAAACTGCTTTTATTTATCTACATTTATTTAAGCTGCTTGTTACCTGATATCCCCTCTTTGAAAAAGGCCTCCATCAGCACAGGCTTGGAAAGAGTCCTCAGTGATTTACCCCCCATCCCGGACACAGTGACGGTCATGTTGGTGTGGATTTGGACCTTCTGTATGGCTCCTGGGGTGCAGAAGTGTCCGATTGTAGTGCCGTGGTCTTCTGACAATTTAAAGATTATGCTGTTGTTGCACTGCTGCCCAGGTAGGGACTGCTTTAGGGGCCCGAAGGGAGAGGTGAGCTCCACAGTGCCGTGCTGAGGAGGACGGAGGGTCCAGGTCACGCTGCTCAGAGGGGCCAGGAGGCAGGGAGGCAGCACGGGCACCGACAGACGGGCAGGGGTCTTTGGGCAGTCTTTCAGTACACTACACTCTGACATGAAAGAGAGAGAGATAAACCTTTATTGATCCCCGTAGGGAAATTCAGGTGTTGTATGTAGATTAAAGCAAGAAGGGTTTAGAAATTAGAAATAATGTCTGCCTTCAAAAGCTCCAGGCTGAAAAGGGTCAACTCACCCAGATTACCAAACCAAAAAAAGTATTTTCAAACTTATTACAACTTATTTAAAAAAAACGTAGAAACTGTCTGTATGAGAACTGTCAACAGTGACTCATCTAGATTAAGACAGACACTGTTTCTGTAAAACAATGCTGACTGAGTACCAAAAACAAATTCCAATCATTCCAGTATTTTGGGGTGGAGACCGACACTTATCTTAAAAGTAAACTCAAACAGCATCCCACTGAACCCCTAAGGCCAAATTAAATGAGGCAGTTATTTTATTTAGGTCACTTACAAGTCAATGACATGTACAATATAACTGTGAGAAGACTATGAGGTTAACTACTTGCTGGCTTCCATTATTTACTTGGACATCAGATCCAAATACTTCTCAATAACTAACTAACTTATAACAGAGGCACTGATGAAGACAAGGAGTCTATTTTGGTTTGTCGTGAGATTTTGAGCCCAAATGCTCAAAGAATACATTTAGAATATAATTTCACCTAAGGAGAGAGAGCCTTGGTTTGTTCTGCATCACTTAATACCAAGCAAGACTTACTGGTTCCTGTTTGCAATACTTTGACATGCCCTACTAAAGAGCACATACTGGATCAACCATCAGAGCCATGCACCGCTTCCTTCTTCCATTGAAAAAGAAAATGATGACAGAGAGACTGTTTTCAGCCTTGATCTATGTTGGGATATAATATATTAATCCAAATAGGGTGAGTTATAAAAACCTATTTTGCAGAACCCGAGAAGCCTCCACTGAACACATAAATCAGGGTTTACCTATGGTTTTAGTGGCGGTGATTTGCACCTCTTCGGGAAGGCAGTCCTGGAAAGTGAGCTCACTCTTCGATGTGACCGTGATTTTCTCCTTAAGCACAGAGTTGACTTTCATCTTGCAGACAGAGGCCGGTCTCAACTTCTTGATGTGAAGAGAAAGGCCCCCCATTCTGCTCGGATCCACTTTACATGACACTACAGAATAAAGAA